TCCCTCCATAAAACAATTTGTTGTGGCATTGTCAAAATTACCTAAGGATCCGATCTCAGTCCTAAGGAAAAAAAAAAACAAACATTAAGAATATACCTCTTGAGAGCTGGCCAGTAGCCAAAATTTCTAAAAAAAAATCAGCCACAGACAAAGAGTTGGCTCAAAATCTCTATTTAATCTTTTCACAGGTGGCAACACTTTCCATTTGTCAAAAAATATGCCTTCGTTAACAAAGGGAAAAAAAATCTGTTGATCTGTGAAAGTAAAAGCTTCCACTAAGTGTTATGTGTGCATGTACCAAGAATCTTCTCCAACTGGCTTTGAATGTCTCAGACTCCAAAATAATACTTGAAGGAAATTTCAAACATCTCCTTTTTCGTCTAGAGTCATTCTTGATATGGAATCATTGTTTTGACAGGTGTCTGCAATTATTAATTTGCTTCCATGCACAACAAGAGTTTCTAAAGGCTATCTGTAGATTTCCCTGCACTCATCAGCATTTCCAGTTTATGAGTGGACCTTTTGATTGAGAAAGGAGCTCTCCCGGCCTTCTAAGAAAGCAAACAAATAAACAAACAAAAAATAGGGAGATTTTTGTATGAGAAACAGGGGTTTAATCTCCTGTAGCAAGTACCACAGCCTTCTGTGAAATCCTCCTAGGCCTCTTTTCTGCTTTTAACCAGGAAAATGAACTCCAGAGTCTTGGGCAGTCAGGGAATAGATTAAAGGATATGAAGTCAGTCTGAAGTCTGCAACATTAACAGGTGTATTAATCCTTCTCTCCTTGAGCATAGACATAAGTCATAAAGCAAACAAAAAAGGGCCCAGTATCATTGTTCCAGAGAAGTATGTAAAAGACATTGAGGAGAATGTGTCTAAACCATGGCAAACAAGCCAAGAGAAGAAGATAAGTATGGGAAGGCTAGCAAAAAGCAACAAAATCAGGATTGCAACAGCAACAATGTTAGAAAATGCTTTTCAGAATGTGATGTAACTGTCTTTCCCCTCTGCATTCAAGCAGGCATTAGCCAAGGTGTCCTTTGTCCTTCCTTTCTAACTGCTCTCTTTCCTTTTCGTAGATCCTTCCATAAATCCCACAGCTTCCCTCTTCTCCCAGCTCTCACATGGTCAAGGCAAAGCAAGTGTAGGGGAAACCATCTTCCTCATCTATTTTCTTACCATTTTAATCTTGTTGATCATCATACTGCTTCTGCCTTTTCTTATCAAATCTGAGCTGTCACAAAACTCTCATTATACGTTTCAGATCCCATAAAACTACTCCTATTTTTCTCCTGCCTCTTGAAGGCCTCCCTCTTTTTTTGGCTCATGCTTATGCGCATGTCTTTCTTATGGGATTTGCTACACCTCCATTTTTTTTTCCTATAAATAAAGCCTTTCTCATCCCCATTCATTGCTGATCCTGTCCCATCTAACATGACTGTTCTGAGACTTGATCCCCAAACTGCTGCTTTTCATAGAATCACAGAATCACTGGCCTGTCTGGTTGAACTGTCTGGGTCAACTCTAGCTTTGCTTTCCTTCCTCATTTTTGCTTAGAATCTGCGCACCCCTGCTAAAATCAATTACATAGGGGATTGTTTTAATTAATTTTGATCTTTGTAGTTTGTTATTTTCTATGTGGACTGAGTTCCTGCCTAAATGATTAATTGCTTTTCCAGAGTTTGTATTTACTAGTATTTTACTTTTTTTTTATCAGGTACTTCACAGAAATGACCTTGAAATATTGATCCCTGAAAACAAAGCACATAAAACTGTTCTGTCCCACAGTTCCTCCCCAGAAGAATGTGTCTGCTGTCTAGCCTTTCTTTGGTGCCTAGACGATGACATGATTGCCCTAGAAGTTACAGCTTAGCTGAATAAAAACAGGCAGTGAAGAACTGCCCGAGCTGCTTGACTCTTGCCAAGTCCCGTGCTTCGGGCACAGCCTTTCCCTCACCCACAGCATCGGTGTCCCAGGCATTTGCCAGGCACGGCTGCTGCATCCCTGCTGCACGGCAGGTCAGCTTTGCCAGCGGGTCGCTAATCCCCTGATCCAGCTCTGCCTGCCCCATGGGCACTGCAGAGAAAATAACGAAGCGTCTGGGAGAATTTGCTGTCTCTTGGATAGCTGCAGCAGTCCCTCATCTTTCCTGGGGTTCAGTATCATCTGAGGCCTGCCAGGTAACTTAGGAGCAGTGACTGTGTGACCGGGTGCATGTCCTTGTCACACAGCCTGAGGGGAGAGGGCCTCACTTGCCAACCGTGCAGCCCTCAGAGGTTGTTACTGAAATATCAATAGCATGTGTGTGGGAAGCAGAATCTGTTGATAAGGGTTGGTGAGCAAAGTCTCGATACAAAGATCTAGTCTGTGTTGAAAGGAAACACTGTTCTTCATCTCTTTGCTACCCAGGACAGCTAATGAGAGCACAAAACCCATAATTTAAACTTTGCCAAGGATTTGGGACATCTGGAGAAGTTAGTGCAAGTATTAGAATAAGTTAGGACTGGCAAATTGAAGATGCATGGATACTTGTGCAGTGTTAGGCCCCAATTAAATACTTTCTACTGTGTAGTCACATTTTATTACAAATTACTTATGTTTGGAACATGGATAGAAAAGAAGCAGGTTATCTATTTACAGTCACTACACATTTACAAATATTATTTACAGATAATGACTTTAGTAATATATATGAGCAGAAAATATAGCACATATCAATATGAAACTGTACAAGGCTTAATCTCATCTCCTTTACTGTGGCTGTATTTCACTTTAATAATAAATACAGTTCTATATTTACACATTTTACTTTAAAAAATCTATTAAATGAATTTTAACAATTTCAAGTTTAAAATATCTGATCAAAATATTTCAAACATGGTTATAAAAATAAGACACAAAGCCGTTAGGACTTTCTGCAAGCTAAAAAAGTTCTGATAAAAGAAGCTTTCTTAAACTAGTCTGTAGAAATATAACATTATTTTGTTTCTCAAATCACTTTACAAACTTCTTAAATATAGCGAGCTGAAGGGAATTTCACTGACATTAAGCAGTGTAGCACAGATGGATCCCAGTTAAAATAAACCTAAGTAAACATGGTCATAGGTATTGTGCAATGGTTGACTGATCCTCTGCTTAATCCAAAGTGGTTTTAGGCATCATTCTCCAGCTGCACACTGCACTGCTTCAAAAGCCACAAGAGATAAAGGATTGAGATAACTACACATACGACTTTATCATACATAATGTCTGCATTTGTTCATTTTTCTTCCTGAAGTATGAACGTGTCAGCCAAAGTCAACTGATGCCATCTGTAAATGCAAAACTAAAAATATGCCAGTGTGAGTGGAGAAGAAAATCAAGGCATATCCATTGCTGGCAACAGCTTCTTCATTGTGAAAATCCACCCTATGAGTGCCAGGAAGTTGCATATATAAAAACAGATGAATAACAGGGATCATCTTAATTACCGGGCTAGTCTAACCATGGTAATGTTCAGAAATTGCTTGGGCACCTAGAGATTGAATGGTCTTAGTTATTTCTTAACTAAGAAATAAGTGCTGGGAAATAAAATGTTACTTTTCAGGAAAAAAAAATAACAACAAAAAAAATCTCTAAGTTTGTGCACTTTTGTGTCTTGAATGCTCTGAAAATGTGCCAACTTTGAGAAAAAGACTATTAGAATTTCCCTGGGTGACTTGGTCAAGGTCAAAGACTTACCTAAAAAGTAAAGGTGGCTCTGCTGTCCGAAATATTTTGACAATAGGCTGTAATTGGGATGCTTCTGACCTATGTGAACGTATGCTTTGATTCTGCAATGTATTAACAAATTTAAAACTAGACGGAGCTCTGTGTTAATCTAATCTCCTAACCTAAGGCCATGAAACTTCTCTGACTTCCAATAGCTCCCCCAATACCTCTTTTTGAGAACAATCTAGTTGGAATTTACATATTTTTGGTAACAGACAGTTTACCCCTAAACCTTTGTAATTCAATCACTAACTGCCATCACTGTCAACAATTTTCACCTATATTTCCATGCTGTATATCCCTAATGGCAATTTTCAGTAGATCTTATTAGATTCTTTTCCTCTTGCTTGGATAGAACTCTGCACTTCAACTCAGATCACTTCTTTGATAACTTGCTACTAAAATCTATGATATTTAAATCCTTTTCAATTTTCCAATGTTCTTCACAGCATGTGGATGCAAGCACTGTATGAAATATTCTAGCAGTGCCTGCATCAGTGATAGGGACACAGATCACACAGCCTCTTAACTTCTACTTGATATTTCATGGTCTATAATTAGAATCTGTTGTATCATTTTGGATAGCTCTTCAACTGGCTAGCAACCATTAGCTAGAAGCTTTTCAGAATGCTTCATAGGTTAGAGATCACACCAAGTCGGATTACAGTTTTTGTTTCTAGACAAATGACTTAATGTTTCTAAGCGAGTGCTTTTGGTGACATTTATTTGCACTCAGCACATTTATCTTTCTGTATTGATGATTTTCCAAGAAGTGTTCTTCACTCTTGCATTCTAAGAATCATCTGCCAGTTTTATTAGCAGTAATTCTGGAAATAATTCTAAGTCATGACCAAACTGTGCAGCTCTTCACTAGAAAAATGTCCTTGTGACAGTGGCTTGCCATTTACAATTACATCTTAGTCACTTAGCGGGATTTTGATTAACCTCTTTTCTCCCATGTTAATTTTGTATTGCTCTAGCTGACAGTTAAAAATGCACTGTCAAGTCAGAAGACTTCCATAAAACAAACCCAAAAGCAATTACATTATTAAGAGCCTTACCAGTAAAACATGGAGCTTCATAACTGCCTATTTTCCAGAAATCTCTAGGACTTTAATAGGATTACTCTTCCACTTAAATACCTTGCTGAATCAGGCCTCTACACAGACACTTATAAAAACAACCACACAACTGGAAAAGTATTAAGATCAAATGCTAATAATCAGAAAAACAAACAAGAACGCCAAAACACAAATGCTACCAGGTAATGCTTTGAAAAAAAGCTTACCAGTTTAGCATAGTATTTTTACTCTTGACCAACAGATGCCTTTTCTGAGTTTTGCCACTTTAAACAAGAACAGTTGATACAACTGCATGAACTGTGGCAACTCTCAGTTTCTTTTTTTCATTGCAGCATTTCCTAAAAACAACGCTGAGAAGGCTCATGTACTGGATCTTCAGCCTGCTGCATGTTTTGTGATGGTCCATTTTTCTCATTCATGTATTAATAGTTCAGAGCCATTCCCTAGCCTGTATACACATACCCATATTTACTTTTGGGATTAACATTTTTGTAAACATAGATACTTTCTGCATTGCCACTGAAACTAGCGACATGGAACAAATGCTACTGATGAAAGATTACAGCTTTCTGCCATTTGATAAGATGATGGCATTAGTGACTCGCTGGTAGGCATGTCATAGGATATGCCAGCACTTGTGAAGGTTACCAGTGCTTGTGTTGAGTCACAAGATTGTTTTTCTAGGTCTTCTGAATTCACAGAGATCAGACTAGTGTGTTTTGATCTCCTCCATAACAAAGTTTGCTTTCGTAGACTTCCAAGATCCTCCTTAAAGTGTGGATTGAAAAGTATATAAAGGAGTGGGTTTAGGCATGCAGGCAGTGGTACAATCACTAGCAGTATTGATTTAATCACCTCTGGGCTGATAAAAGTGAGGTTTAGCAAGGAGGAGAAAGATAAAAAAGCCACAGGGCAATAAAGAATACAGTTAGTAAAAAGTAGCAAGGCTATGTGTTTGACCATAGAGCAATCCCAAATGTTGTCTAGTTCTCCCTTTTCTAAACTACAGTAGAGCTTTGTATAAGCAACAGTCATTACCAGGAAGCAAAGCGAGTTCAGCAATACCAGTGCTACCATGTAGCCCATGGCAGTGGGTTCTCCAAAGGGCAATGGTAAACAGAGTGGAGAAACCCCATACTCACTTCCATTGAGGAGTGGTATCACTGCAATGACTAGTGCCAACACAAAGCAGAACAAAATGGCTATTTTGACACTGGCAGTAGAGGATTTTGCTTCAAACTTTGCAGCATGCTTTACAGAGAATGCACGTTCGAGTGTGGCAAGGGTAAGGAGGAAAATGGAAACCTCTGAAGCAAAAATGGACAGAAGGCCAGTAATTTGGCAACCAATTCCACTTTCCCACCATGCTCCATATTGAGCAAAGCTGCCAAAAGTTGATGCATCCACACTGGCCAATACTCCACTGGCCAGACCCATCAAGGCATTTACAATGGATATTAAACCAATTAGAAGTCTTATGGAGGAAATATAGAGCAGAGATCTGAAAATTGTAGCAGTCACCAGTGCATTGCAAATAAAGGCCAAAGCCACTATGGTCCACACTCCAATTCTGATCAGCCAGCTGCCAAACAGATGGTCACATGGTTTAAAAGGACCTGAAATGAAAAAAAAAAAAAAAGAAGAAGAAAAAAAGTGAGGGAAACCCATGTAAGATTGAAAATAAATTTTATGCCATTTAAGTCCCTAATTTCCATGCCTCTTGTCAGCTTCCACACCCAAAGAATTCAAGTCCAAAAGTACAGGATTTTTTTTTTTACCTCAATCAAGTTCCAAAATCAAAAGTGAGGGAGTTTGGGGTGACTAGAGCTCTCAGTAAGGTCCTGCTCACAGGCAGGGTCCATTCCTGGTGTACAGGAGTCTCTGCCCCTTGGCCTGAACAGGCTGAGGTTTCTTTGTTTGCCCATCAGTGCAAGTGCAGTGTGAATGTGCCCAGGGATCCCCCAGGGCAGGACAGGATGGCTGTACCTTCCTTTTTCTTCAGCTATTGCATATGCAGATATGCAAACCACCTCTGTGGGGAAATGGGAAAATCCTGAAGCTCTCTGTCTTGCAATAGTAGCTAAATACATATTTTGCTATGGTTAATATAACATCTGGGGGCAAAACTTTAGTCCAAGGAGAACAGTGATTGGGAAGCTTATTTAATGAATGACATGCCCAGTCTGCAGGTTCAAGAAATGCTGTGTTGTTTGTAAATGTGTGAAAAAAAATGAGGGACACTTCTCACTGCCCTGGGACAGGTTTGATGAGGCCCAGAGAAGTCTTGTGTTATGGATACGGGCAGATGCACTTTGGCTCCCTGACAAATGCTATTACACAGTCCAAGACACATTTGCAGTAATGAAGAACATGTCACTGCTGTCTGTATGGTGGGAAAGAAGTGGACATGCTTCTCTGTGTGCTTTGAAGGAAGTTTTCAGTGGAATCAATGGACTGCAACTTTGCAGTTTAAATGAAGAATTTCTTTTTCCTCCCTTCCACATTGCTAAGCCAGGGATGCACTACTCTATAAAGAAAATGACAGTGGTGACAGTCATTTGTGATGGCCTGAGAAGGGTCCAGTAGTGTTTGATATTTCCTAGCCATTGAACTAAACTGCGTTTCTTAGGGATCTCAAGTGTAGCATCACATGATGAAGTTCAGGGGAAGCAGTTTAGTTTTATATGGAATGAGAGAGCAAAGGCTCTATTCCATACTTTTTTTCTTGCTGAAAACCTCTAATCACAAATCTGGAGTAAGAATCTGCATGAGGATTGGGTAAAACTTCCAGTATATTCACAGATGAATTTAGTAGCTGAATAGCTTTCTGGAACTCAGTGCAAAACTTATATTATTATAAAATGTATTTACTTTCACCAAATTATTTCAAAACATCATGTTGCTTCCTAGTACCAGAACCAGAGTTTGTTTTGCATCTCAGATACCTGATAAAGGTATATTTGGTTTCCTACCTGCCTGGCAGTTCCGTACCTGGAGAAGGTGAACATTGCACTGAATGATGAGCTTTCAAATCCTCTTCAAAATCCAGAAGAAAATCTTCAAAATCACGTTCATCTGTGGGGTAGAAAGCACCCAAATTTGCTACTGCTATTTTTAAGAAAACCTTTTTTAGTGTAAATTGCAAAACATGTCTGTTGTATTTAAGGATTACTGTTGTCCCTTTGCCCGCCAAACCATAATCAGAAGCAGATATAAGCTTACTTGGTTTTGAATCACTGTATTCAGAAATATTTAAAAAGTTGGCACTATCTTATCTCTGAAATAACCACCTTCAGAAAGGTAGAACTTCTAAGAATTAACCCAGCTTCTTTTGTGTTTGATTTTTAATGTCATAGCTTCACTATGTGTTCTTGGCTCCACTCTTGCTGGGGCCAGCCCTGGTATTTGAAATTACCAGTTTGCAGGTGTAGAGAGAGAACAGAAAACAGCAAGATAGTTTAACATGTAGTTACTTGTAAGATAGTTACTTACAGTAACAGGTGACATAACAGTCCTTGTGTTGAAGAGGAGGAAATACACAGTACTATCTATCCTGGAGAGCAGATGCACTCTTTGGTACTCAGGAAGCGTCAGGAAAAAGCACTGGCAGTGATGCCAAGTCAGCCATCCTAGTGGCTGTGTAATGCAGTAATGAGTGCTGTGAGTCATTCTGAAGCAGGTACACACAGCACAGGCAAGCACAGGAAACCTCCAAGCCTGGCAAGAAACGGTGACCTGGGTCTTTCCAGGTCTGCTCTCCTAGGAGGGATATTGCAACGTGGCACCACTGCTTCCCTTCCTCTCAAACACAGGGAAGATTCCACTTCCCACATTCTTAGAGTTAGCAATTGGACAGAAAGAAGAGCGACTGCGAGTTTTGAGAGGCTCACCTGGAACAATGAGACTGCCAAGCATGATAACATATTGGATAACATATAACTGGGCAAAAGAGAGGGAGAGGCTGTCTCTCCGACTGTAAGAGAGTGTTACACTTAATTAACATCAGAGGCTGCTCCTGTGAAACTCTGTGTCAGAATTTCTGTTCCTTTCTCTGGAAAAAATCACAGACTTTAGATAGATAGACTTAAAAGCAGAAGATGAGGCTTACCTTGAATTTGTAACAATCCAGTATCCTTCCTGTGAAAATCGTCCATGCTGCTGTTCTCATCTTTGCTCCACTGGTTGGAGATTTTGTAGTGGCTCTCGCAGGCTCCAAAGGCACAGCACTGGTAAGCATAAGGCATTTCCATGACCCTGACAAAGAGGCATGCCGTTAGCACAGAGAAACTTGCTTAAATAACCGTGATTTAAAGTAAAAATATTTATGGGTAAAAATCAATCACGGTAATACAAATGGATTCACATACAAAATTCCATGTCAGAAATGCAAATGATTTCTAAGTTTATTTTATTAAAGACACAATAACATATCCTATATATCTCCATGATGGACATATTTAATAGTATTTTAAATTATATATATAATTTCACAGTTGGGGATATGTGCCTTGCAGTTGAGTGTTGCTCTGACAGTCATATTTGTATTTTTTGCTTTTTAATGATTTTACACTGTAAAACTGTTACTCAACTATTACTTTCTTAATTTTTTAAAGCAGATTCAAAAAAACAGGCAAAAAAAAGCAGGCAAAAAAACAACCAACCAACCAACCAGACTAACAAAACCCACCATTATGTTCCTAACAGAATTTTGCTGATTTTGGGAAAATGAGATATGCTTTTATATTCATACTTCATCCTCTTCCCTCCACCTCAAACCTTTTTTCACAGTGAAACAACAGAGTCTTTCATACACAGACGAAAAAAATCAATATTCTGAACCGAATGGTGAATGTGAATGGGAATCCATCAGAAATATCAGGTGTGAAAACAGTGTCACAGAAGAAAAGGTTTTACTTAATTAATTGTCATAGGAATGTGCCTGGTGATACAGGATGCTCATTACTCATTTTTTTTAAGATCCCTGGTTTTCCAGAACATAACTGAGTATCAGTCAGTGAGTTTCAGTGATTCTGAAGGTTTCCATCGCCAATCATGTCATTGATTTCCTATGTTTGAATTCCATTACTTTGGGATGGTGTCAATTTTGGAGTAGTACGGAAGATCTATTTCTTTTTACTAGTCTTGCTAGTCTTACAGACTATTTCTTCTATTTCTTGGATGTGATGCTTTGGAAGTAGACATACTTAATCTGTACTATTCTCCAGTAATATGCAGTAAAACACAACAATTCACCTTCATTTCAAAAGCTGAATCGATCAAAAAAAAAAAAGGTGATTAAAAGCTGTTCTGACAAATTGAAAGCAATAAGATAGAACTATATCCTACTATCAGATCACCTTTAACAGTTTAATCATGTAAATTAACATGATGAATGCTCTAAGAAACCTTTTATGTCCTGGGAAATCTTCAACAGGATCAGTGTGTGAATAAGGTCCAGTGTCAATAGGATTTAAACTTGCATACTAGCTAAAGGCTTGGCACAGAGGAGAACAAACTAACTAAAATTATTTTTTCAATTAGTGCATCTTGGGTTGTTTAGTTTCTACTTGCTGATATTTCTTTTGGGAATTAGCAACAATAATCAGTATTGTTGAATGGAATGCAAAAATTTATATTTGATTTTTTTTAAGTACTCCAGTAAAGTTCAAAGTAACCAAGATAAATCGGATTAATGTCAGCAGATCTAAATATTTATTTTCTAATTCATTTCTGTGCATACGTTCTTTTAAAATAATGAGATTATCTGATTAAACAATTTGTAAAAAAATATCCCAGAAGCTGTCCTTATATAAACTATTATTAAATCCACAGTTTACTAGAGTAGCCCACAGTTCATCACCTTCCAGGCTGAAAAGCAATCCCCATGAATTGGTTAACACTAGAAATGTCCCTTTTCTGACAAAATAACCTCATTTAAAAAAAAACATTGAGAGTTCTACAAGGTGATGGCTGTGACTAATGGCTCCAGACCTTCTGGAAGAAGTTCATACTCCTGTGGGAAGACAAGCTAGAGGATACTGCAGTCTCGAGGGACTAATGCTAATGTATCCTCTGGTTAATCCAAAGGCCCCATACACTTAATAATGACAAGTTTCCAGATGCTGTTGGTCTTCTACCAGTCTGATGGCCAGTCCTGGAGTAGAAATCTCAGCCTCTCACATTATGCTCTTCCACTATTTCCAAAACCCCTCCAAACTTTTATCCTATCTTAGTTAAAGAGCAAGACTCACTTTTCCAGCCATACACTGTCGGAATCTATTCTTTCTACAGTGAGTTCCTACTTGATATGGGTGATATAGATTTTGTCAGGTTAAATCCATTAAAAAAGACTAGCTGGGTCTGTTTTTATGCACTGCTTATCTTACTGATGGTATTTGTAGCTTTGCTTTTATTTTATTTCTCCTTCCTGAAGCAAGGAATGCTTGCTTTGGTTTTTGATTAAGCAGCAGAGAACACAATGCCATTTTTCAGCTCACAAAGGTGTGTAGTTGTCAATGAATGGGAACACACAATTATGATAGATGGAGCTAGTAACTGAATTCTTTACAGTTGTGAATCAAAGCATCAGATAAAGCAGGAAGGAGCGGTTGGCACCACGGCTTTATTTCCTCATAGCTTGCTGGGCTAAGCCATGTACCTGCTTGTGCTGCTGCTGAAGGTGGGGCAGAGGATGCTCAGCTGTTTGATGTGTTTGTGCCTTGGAGAGCAACGACCCACTTAGATGGGGAAGTAGGAAAGTAGGAAGCTTTCATACGGGAATTTGTCTCTAATGCTATAACCAACTTCTAGTTCCAACAATTATAAAGGGTGAAATTTCATTTTGTTTTAGATCTCTCTTCGAGCTTGGCGCTTGATTCATTGCCGGTGAAGTCATGACCATTTTAATTCATGGTCAAGATGATAATCCAGGTCAAGATTTTACTCCATTCTCTCCTGACTAGATGACCTTCGCTCTTACAGATATCAATCAGAGATATGTGATCATATCTCTTATATCTTTTTTAACAACTTCAGCTATTGCCTTACACTTCCTTGTAAAGTACTTACATGGTTTAGATCCACTGTAGTTGCATTTTAGCAATGTACATAATTTTACTGGGAGAAAAAATATAGTTTTAATAAAAGAATTAACAAATCTGAGTTGTACAAAATTCAGTGGACTAGTGAATTATTCTAGCAGCAACATTTCTTATGCCCATAGGCCAGGCCTATACATATATATTACTGTACACTTGCTAGCTTGACTCAGTGATTTTCTTCTTGTATTTACACTTTCAAGAACTTTCAGATATTTAGGATTGTCATCTGCCTCAATGTGCACGCAAAGTCAAGAAAAACAGGTATTCTTTTATATGGTGATCAAGTCGCTGCCCAATCTTCTCCGTAACAAACTATAGGTATTGGTTTTATGAAGTCTTTTAAAGCATTTGTTGCTAAACCTGAAACCATTTTTGGCAGCTCTTCTTTCAGATTGTAGTAATATACCATCACAGAATTTTCTAGTGTGAATCCCTCCAATACATTATACAGAGGTTAAAGAAGCTTCCCTATTTCTACTCATGACTCCCTTACTTGTAAGTCCAAACTGCTCTAGTCCTTTTCACCAGTTTCATATCTTCCTGAATTGTTGGCCTGCTGTGACTTACAAAACTTCTGCAGTGAAAAACCTGAATATAGTGAAGATTTACTTATGCACATGCTATTTGTTTCAAACTTTATTATAACAAACCTTTTACAATACAATGAGGAAATAGAGAATAAAAATATATTTTGCACTTGGACATCTTTGCCCTGGAAGAGGCTACCCAGGGAGGTTGGGAAGTCTCCTTCTTTGGAGATCTTCCAGTCCCACCTGGATGCCACCCTGTGCCATGTGCTCTAGGTGGAGCAGGGGGTTGAACTAGATGATCTCCAGAGGTCCCTTCCAACCTCAACCATTCTGGGATTCTGTGATCTTCCAATTAAAATAAAAAAAATCAAGGGAACTAAAAGTTAGGAACTAAAAGTTGAATATCCAATATTCAAGTCAGAGGCAAATCTCCCTTTAAAATATCTTTCCTGTGGTCATCCAATGACTGGCAGAATGGCAAATAATCTCTAGAAAACATTCCCTTCCCCTCACAGGGCACTCAGCAGAAAACTATCAGCATCAAAATGTTTCAATAGTGATGGACAAGTATTATCTGAATCTTAATCAAAAGATGGAAGTTAAAATCTGTTCATTTCTACTTTAAGCAAATATGACAAAACATTTTAAATTTTTCTTCTCTTCATATTTACTGAGTTCTCATTAAATTTGATGGAAGTTCAGCAAGAACAGCCTGTAGAAGAAGAGCCTAGCTCTAAGCAATATTGTTTTAACAGTTTTTGAACCGTATCAGCAGCAAGCAGATGTGGCTCACTTCAAGCAAGTGCTGGGGTTAATATTTCAAAACCCTTCGTAGTTTCTTCAGTTAAAAGCGAGCACAATAAAATAAGTAAGTATCATATTTGCTTTAGTTTTAATAGCACAGATCAAAGTGATAATACAAAGCAACATGCCTGACACACCTTCTATTGCACATGAACCCAAATGTGCCTTATTAGTTTTAATGATATACTCACTTGAGTTCTGGAAAATTTTCAGATGATATCAAACTTTGTAGGGCATGATTTCCTGTTAATTTTAAATGAGTTAAACCATGAAGCCCCGTCACAGGAAAAGAGGACAAAAGGTTGGATGACACGTCCCTGCATAACAGCAAATAAAAATCAGTTTACAAGTTTTCATTCTTTTTCTTCAGCATTAAATGTGTCATTCTGGAAAAACAGGTTATACATTTCTGACTCTATCAAAGATCACTGCATTAAGCAGAGACCCCCCAAACAGCAGAGCAAATGTGCAACAGCATTCAGGAGAACACATCTATGTGTCTAAAAGAAAGCTAACAGTAGTATCTAGCAGCTTGCTAAGAGTAATCTCTCTTGTTAATTTTTGATTCCAAGCATTCATAGTGACAGTTTTGAGACTAGCAAATTAATCTAAGAACAGGTCATTGGACTGTTCATTAAATACCGAAGGTGAAATTTTGGTCTCACTGAAATGGAAAAAACTACTACTGACTTCAGTCAGACCAGGGTACAGACTGGCACTTCAGGTAACACCGATACTGGTTTACTATATGTGTTGAAGGGTATTTTTCTCGTATTCTGGTTTACTGTCCAGGGCTATAGACCAAAACTAAAGTTTTCTGCTGGTAGAAGAGTGTTCTCTCATCCATTTCTCATCTACTTTCTTCTACAGGAAAACCCCGAGGAAGCACAAAAAAATAGGCATGTAGTAGGCAATGCTCTGTCTATGGATATTTGTCAGTGCACCATCAAGACAGGAGGTTTGCACATCAGCAGGGTACTGATGCAGCCCACACTGGCTTTGCAGTTTTAGATTTCCCTGCAGATACTGGATTATCTATGAGCAGAAGCCAGCGGCATATCTTCGTGAGCAAGATAACTCTGGAGGAATTTTCTCTCAAGTCCTCCCCATACACTCACTATCTCAAGGAGTCACCTTAAAGAGGTATTCCAGTACCTCTTGGCATTGGAGGGAGGGTAGGGACAGCGGGAAGCAGGAAGAGTTCATAAAGATTGAGAAGAGCTTGTAAATAAGACCTGTAAAATTAGACCTCTGTTTTTTTTTTACCACTAACTGCTCAGGCTAAGGATACTAAAGAAGAAAAAACACTCCATCAAAAGAGAATAAAATGAAATAAAATACTTACTTGAAAATGGTATTCAATTTTGAATCTGATTTCTTAGTCCTGATACAGAAATAATAACAAACCTGTCTTTGAAACACTGCTACAAAAGCCTGAACTACTAACTAACAGAAGAAAAGCAGATACTTCATGGGCCTAGAATCACTGTGATTACACTATGTGCATATATACTACAATACTATGGGAGTTGGTGAAGAATGAAAAAGAAGACATAAAATTCAATAAATTATTGAATTACAGTATTCAATACAGAATTACAGTAGAGAAACCTCTATTTCTGCTGACTGTGGGACTAAGTTATGAAATTATATATGCACTTGCAAGAAAAATGGGAACATTTGAACATATAGTATATTAATACTTACAGTTTGATCAGAGATGGTAAAGAAGAGAATGCATTGGGATGAATAATTTTAATTTTGTTCCACGCTAAATCCCTACAAGAAAAATGAGCAGAAAATTACATACCTACTGAATGAATATGGCAGTTTTCAGACATTTGATTAGGATGCCTAAGTATAAAAAAGGTATTAATTACATGCAAATACTTCCAATAAGCTTCTGCATATCTCATAATGAGATGTCTTTTCCCAGTTTTTAAATGATGTTAGTCCATTAAAGGTGTTAGTTACTAAACTGACAACTTTTTCTAAAACTTCTTTATGACTTCTCTAGTCTAGCTCACTTGCTTTCAGTCTGCTTCGCAGTCTGCGTATATACACAGCTTCTAAGAAATTCTCATGAATTTCTAGGAAGAGCAAAACTTTTGTCAAAAGGCTCAATTTCCTAACCAGAATCCTCACCTCCCTTGAAAAATCAGAAAGTTTGAAAACACTAAAAAAAAACCGTATGCAAGGACTTACAGTCAATCAGAAAGTTTGAAAACACTAAAAAAACAACCCTATGCAAAGACTGACAGCCGTGAGAAGTTGATAAATTTATCCATGAAATTACTATTAGAATTAAAATGCTTGTCTGAGTAAAAACAATAAATCTATGCAGGATTGGGATGCATTTCTTCACATACCATCCTCTATAAAAAGCTCTCATGCTCCCTAGAGCCCAAAATTGTGAATCTGCCATCAGATACTACCTTGGGCTCAGTATCTCTCTCCACCTTCACAAGAAATGTTTAGAAGTAGCAACTATCATAGCCGTATGTTTACAACTGTGAATTCATTGCTGCAGATGATTAACTTCACAATGTTTATTCCGGTTTTACAATTATGACCTAATGGATGAATGATCCAAGTGAGGAAAAATAGAAACAGGAACATTTGGGGACAGGACAGGACATGCCAGGTGAGCGGATCATGGTTATGGCTGTACTCACAGAGAACGCAGTGACGCCAGCTGCCGAAAAGTGTCTGCTTTAATTTCATCAATCTCGTTGTGATGCAAGTCACTGAAACAGCAAGAAGAATCCCACTGGTTTCAAAGGCATTTGGAGGATGCTTTGGTGTGTTTTAGACTGAGTTTATGGGTCAACTTCCTTACATTGTAAGGGTATGTATGTGGGATATGTCACATTGGCTAGCAGTAACAAAATTATGTCCAAGCAAATTTGTATACAGATGTCTCTTTTTAGGCTTACATTTTTTGGAGCTTTTTACATGCAGTAAAACAGGGTAAATCTTCCAGCAGATTGTAAGACAGATCCCTGCAATACACAAGACAAGAAAATAAAGATTAAAAGCAAGATAACATTAAAAGAAAAAGCTGCCCTTTTGGAAACAACTAACTTCATGCTGGATTTAAAAATAACTTGTCTTTATTCACACTCACAAAGGAATAGAAATGTGCAATCTTAGTTCATCTGTCAGATTTTGACTTCGAACTGAAGAGGAGGAGGGGAAGGGAGGGGAAAAGTTAGGATGTATTGAATCCATATCCTATGCTTGAAAATTCCTTGCATTGTCTGAAGATTTCCTGCCTGAAACATAGACCTCTGAGTGTTTTACACCAATGAAATCTGCAGTATTCTCTTATGGAATAGCTTCGGATTCATCAAATATGAACAAATACTTACACAATTTGAAAAATCTACCAAATATATATACTCATATTTTGTCAGAAAAGATCGGATATTTTCTGGCTACAGTCTCTCTGAACAGCAATCAGCTTTCCAGTCTACACTTTTAATTAAGAAGTGTTGCTTCTGACCCTTAGAACTGTTTCATCTTCTGGTTGAGAGCTCTGATTAAAAATACATTGGAACTAACTTTGAAATCAATCACTACATGGAGGAAAAAAAAAATAAAAAGACTTGAGCCAAAACTCGACAAATTACAGAATAAGTGAAACATCTGGACTGATTTATAGTATAATATAACTAATCAAAAACAAGCCCTGGCAATTTGCAGAAATTGGAAAGAAAAAATAAGAACCAATTCTCCTGTCCCCACCCCCTCCCTCGAATAACAGTCTCATCCTGTACATCTCACTCAGGGAAAACACACTGAACTGAATGGAAACTTAGCTTATGAAGAGAACATTATAACTATAAACAGGAAAGATGTCCTTTCCCACTGTTATCTAATATTATCCATTTAAAGAGTAATATGTTTTCCTGCCTGCTTTAAATTCTTTAAAACTGGTTCTGCTCTATTAAGTTGCTTCCTTGGAGAAAAAAAAAAAAGAAACTTTTAATTTTCATTTTTACTGTCCTGACAGGAGCATTTCATATATTCTATATGTGATTTGCAGAAATGGTACAAGCAATGACAGTGTGTGAACAGTATGTGTCCCATTTTACTGTGCACACAGTCTACCATTAATATACACACATATTATGGTAGCAAATTTACTGAAGTACCGAGCTACTGAAGTACTGAATTACTTTCACCTCGCCTTAAAAGCCTCCAGCTCACTAGAATTGTTCTCTAATACGCCTGACTTGGACCACAGGTCTGGCGAGCTGGAGGCTTTTAAGCCGGGATGAAAGATGTTTGGCATGTCTGGTGGATTATGACCATCCTGTCACACAGATGTGCCTCTTAGGTCTTCTTAAAAGGATGTTACCAACCTGGATTTTATACATACTGACAATCCCTCTCCACACATCAGAAAAAACATCCCACTACCCTCGGTCTGATAGAGTAATAGTAAATATTTTTTTTTCCATTTTGTTATAAAAAGCATATTACACAAGGATCTTTGCAGCAGAAGTGCTTATGGTTCCCATGATGAGGTGGGAACCTTATCCTTAACCATGCTGAGAGCTGTCTTGTGGAGACTGCTGGAACCATGTTCTCTGATAGACCTTTTCTGATGGTGTGTATTTGGAAGCATGGGAGGATGCCCCATGTGGCTTTCAAAAAAGTATTTGTGTCTGTAGATTTGTATTTCCAAGCAGAGCATTTTTTGCTGTGTCTGAGCCTGCAAGTCTTCAAAATTGCTGCCTCCAGATGACTTGTGGACTTCAGTGCCCCATTATTATTCATGAAATAGAGAAAACTAATGTTTAAACTTAATTGTGGCCTTGGCAGGTTTGTTCCCGTCTGATGGAAACAGAGAAAGAGCAACTCTGAGTAACTGACACTGCTGTCAAATTCATTCCCCTACCTTCTAAATGTCAGGAAAATATAAAATGTGAATTTCCAATGGAAGGTCCCACTCTACTATGAACTGTACCATGAACTGTGTTTATATTACTGTAGAGTTTCTGTGTCTTCTGTTTACAGTTTATTTATCATCTTTAAATAACACAAGACATATCTAAACTTAAGTCTGTGTGCAAACTTTCTTCTGGCACCAAACTCAGTTCTCGTCTTTTATCATTCTGGAAATGATTAGAATGAGTCCATGAAGTAAAACTTAATTTTTCTAGAAACAGTTTATGACATCCATGCTGGTATTCAAATAATGTGTTATAATTAGTACTATTTCAGCATTGGCCAAGATAGAACTAATACCAAATACATTCCTAGTGATGTAATGTAGAAGAAAGTACTGTTGGCTCATTCTCAAAGAAGCAGACATAATGATTACTTTTGTTAGTGACATATCCCAAGGATATTTGCAAACTAAAATAATACTGTATAGTTAGTAGAAAAACTATGCCTCATCATGCAAAGGAATAATCTGTTAAAACTTCAGTCAACTACTAATGTTTGGTTGGAAAAGAAAGTAAAAAAGAAGCACAATAAAACTCAAAACTGCAGTCATTATTCAATTGTATTTTCCATTGACTTCACTGAATTATCTGCCTTAATGGGAAAAAAAGAGACGTGTGGAGACAGAAGGAACCCAAACAAGGCCATGTAAGTAGTTCTGGTGTTTTTTTTTAAACAAAACCCAGAATCATTTTTCCCTTTCCTAAAAATATGCAAAGTAAATATATGTAAAAAGTCTCTTTTCAGCAGAGCATGGGAAATCCTCACTGATAGGAGGACTGTGAGGTTGTTGAAGATTGAGCCTGCTCCCCTATCAGTTTTCCTAATACACAGAAATATCAGAAAAAAAATGGCAATTTCAAAATTGTAATGATTTCATTTGTGCACTAATCTCTTGCTTTAATGTAATGTTATCAATCTTACTGAAACGTACAGCACTTGGAGATTAGGTAACTGGTCACAGGCTGATTTGGGTAGAGAGGTGATTTGTGCTCCTGTGAGGGTCCTGTTGAAAGTATTTAAAAATATATTAGTTTTTAAACACTGCAAAGGAAATACTTTTTCAGGTCATTCATTAAAATAAGTCAATATCCCAGAAATGAAAATAAATTTTTAAAAATCATTTATTTTGCATAGAATGGAGTACTTCTCTAGCACTTACAGACTCTCCAGACTTGTAGTCCCAGTCAGATCAGGAAACTCTGTTATCTGTGAAGCACCATTTAAAGTCCTGGAATTTAAAAACATAATTTCAGTATCATTACTGTCAGGGAACTGTGGGACAACTGTAATAGTGCACTATATAAAGACGATTAAAATTAAAAAAAAACACACATACAGAGTTCTCAGTTCTGGTAGGTGTTGAAAAGCAGATTTTCCAACAAGCTGGATAGGGTTATCATAAAAATGTCTGCAAAAATTGGGGAAAAAGACATTTTATGCAAAATATTGTAAAAGATTCCAAGTAAATCACACAATTACACCATACAAAAATGAACAAGCTCCACAGAAGGAATCACAGACTTGGTGCACCTCTGGGCTTTTTCTCTCCCACCAACCCATTTCCATCAACCTTATTTGGAATGCTCGAGCAGCCATTGTTGCCTTGGCTTCAAAACTAGAAGCCAGTCAATAAAATATTTCCTCTTTTTCCCAGGTTTGCAAAGAGAGAAATTCAAAGATGAAACATTGGTTATGAACTGTCACACATATAAATTGATCAGGTGAAATAATCAAAACTTTATACTGCTGGAAGAGGCTGCCTATCCACAGTATTTGAATTCCACGGCATTTTTGAATGGCTTTTGCTCAGAATAATATCCCTGAAAGTGAGTTACTGTTTTTCTCACATTTATTTTACAATTTCTTATTTTGCAGTTTGCCAGTCAAATTCATTCATATATAGATAATAGGAACTGAGAGTAGAAGCCATGAAGAGTAATTTTTTGCTGGCTTCTACACTGAGAGTAATCCTGAGAGACTCATAAGCTCTCGTTTGAACAACAGGTCAAATGCACATGTAAATGGGTATGCAAACTGCCCATCTCTCCATGGAGGTGGAAAGATATAAGCTCTTATCTGCTTATATAATAGTGTGCTACACAGTACAGCCAGACCTGCTGGATAGCCACAATTGTGATATTTAATTCCATCTTTTCTAACAAATGTTATTGGTAAACTACCGTAACTTACATTGTATTAAGCAATGGATTGCCCACAAATGCACGCTCTGGTATTGACTTGATGTTATTGCTATGAAATCCTCTAGAAAATGAAAAAAAAATTGTTTATATGTAAGAAAAGCATAGTGAATGCATGATCTGGGATTTTTTTGTTCATAATAAGAAAAGAGGCTTTATTTAAAGGTTAGTCCTTGTTTTCTAGAAGAAGACAAGTTCTAGAAAATTACATAAAAAAAAGAAAAAAAGGAAAGACATAGCTGGGATTCTGCACTTTTCTATGTGGACAATGTCTTGGATGAAACAAGTTACAAAATATCATTTTAAAATTGGGATTGCATAGTAGAAAGCAGTGCATAATAGGTGAACATCACATATCCATGTAGGTACATGATAAGTGTGTATATATATATTATATACTGTATTGTATACATAAATTATATACTATATATAAAATATATACATACATACATACATATATATATATATATATATGCACCCTGTACTTGTTAAACTACAAGTACTTCTGTCCCTTGGATAATAATGAATTGTTTATAATTGTTTTATACACTAGACTCCCCAAATATGCCGAGCCTCCCCAAACCACCTTTTTGTTGAAATAATTTAGACATGGACATGAACAAACTATCCAATGTCTTTGTCCCTGCTGAATAGAGAACCAAATCTTTGTCTTGTCATTAATTACTGGATTTTACTCATATGAGTAATTCTCCATTGTGAAAAACAATAGAAACAACTAAGCTTCAAAAGGAACAATGATGATTTGTGTGGGAAACTCCCTTCAGTTCAGTCTGGTATGAAAAAAAACTTCCCAGTGTAAATTTATGCATTTAGAAAGCCTCAAATTGTTCACTGATGCAAGCACATGTGGTCATTACTTGAACAGGTCTCACAAGATTGTTTTTACTCATTTAGCTGTCCTGTTACTTCTGATGAGCTACAGAAAAAAAAAAGTTCTAAATTCCTAGATCTTTCACTTGTAATAAAGAATATAATCCATATACAGAGAGATTCTAAGGAATTTGAGGAACCATTTCACCTAGAAGCAATAAACAGACTGTCTGCGTATCTGTACTGAATGGGATTCCTTGCATGGCAGAAATGCTAATGAAAAGGCATGAGAGTTTCAGTGGCGGAGCAGCAGTATCCGCAGTGAAGAGCATATTCCAGGATGTTTCTATGATATGGAGAGGGTCCAACTGTTTCCCCTGCCCAATTGCCGTGGCCCTGTAGTCCCTGCTGTGTTACTGTACTCCAGTGGGTACAGTGAACTGAAGCTGATTTTATCTTGTTTGGTCACATCATGAATGAATGTGCTGTCTGCACCACTGGGTAAAAATCTATAGTAATGTCACACTGGGAAAAATGCTTCTCTAGGTATCTTTGAAGTCCAGCCTGGCAAACACTGCTGTGCATTAACTTTGGGTAATAAGCATATCCACTTATTTTTAGAGGGTTAACTAGCCTTACAACTGAGTCCTTCAAGCAGAGCATCTGGGACAGTGCAACTCCTGTAGCATCAAACAGATACAGCGCTGACCTCCTGGCCACTTGCCAGCAGATCCACAGCTCTTGATGTCTGCAAGTCCTTCACAACTGGCCATACTCTGTGCTTTCAAGCACAGGCACAAATCCTGACAGAGAAGCAAGCCCCAACCAGGATCACCCTTACTAAGATAGCCCTGCAAAGAGTTGAATCTCTATGGTCTAGGGCTCTCACTTAGGTCAGAAGTGCAGAATCCCATGGGAGACACCTCACACTTTAAGGATCAGCATCCTTAACCCAGACAAAGCACTGAACGATATGGTCAAATTCTGTCCGATTTGGGACTTCAAGCTGTAATTTCCTATTCCTTTCCCTTTTTTTTTTTTTTTGCACCTAGGAAATTATCTGAACCAGCAGTGTTTGAGGTGAATCCTGATTAGAGGCAATTTGCTGGGCTGCACAATCTGCACTCACTGCAAACCTGGAGTTATCCATGTTTGGCTACTGGCTCCTGAGGCCAGCAAGAAGGCCGTCCTTTGAGGCCTCTGGATTTCATGGCAATCGTTTGTAGCTCACAGGGCACATCGCGGTAGCTGAGATCAGCTGGACTGAGAAATTCACAGCCCCTTTCCCTTCTCCAAAGCCACACTCTGGCAGCACTGGAGCCGCTGAGCTGGAGTCAGCATTGCCTGGGGATTCCCTGCGTTGGAGAAAATCCCAGGTAATTACTTAAACTGGTTTTTCGATCAGGTTTTGCTGCAATAGTGACACATCTGTGTCCTATAGCTATGGGATTACCTAGCTTTTAAAAATCTACACTGATGTTTCCAGTAACAAGGTAAATGTATCAAATGGAAAGAATTTAGAACATACACATTGTTGCTAAATCATTCATTTTCACCTACTCTTTTAAGATTTGGCTGTTTTCTACAATAAAAATGTCTAGTTAGTTTTTTGTATTGATTTTATTTAATTTTTTGTTTGACTTAACAGCTTTGCAAAGGACTGTCTATATTTAAAATAATTTAAATTTTAATTTAAAGCTAAAAATGGGGCATGAAGAGGGAAGCAAAAGAAATTTAAACTTGATGGGTACATAGGAGAGATACAGCTTTTTCTTAGACTAGAAGACTGTGGTATTTTGAACAGTCTGAAAAAACTGCAGTGCTTGGTACTCAAAACAACTTAGTGTTCATTATCCACTGCAGCATATTCCAAGGATGAAATTCCTGGAAAAAAAAAACACTTCACAGTACATTTCATACTAAAGTAAAAATTGTCAGAACTTAAATGCTCCAAACTAAATTTTGAAAAATTATCTTTATGCATGTTGGCATGCTTATTAGTTATTTCCAGGACATCAGTTTTTAAGGATAACTGATACAATCACCAACATTAAAAGAAAAAAAAATCAGTCACAGACTAGACAAAACATTCTACTTCCTAATATGACTCAGTACTTACAATTCTTTTAGGTTTGTCAGTGTCCTTATAGCAGTGGGAAACTCGTCCAGACTGTTGTAATTTAAATCTCTGTGTAAAAATATATTGTATTGTTTAGGTTATACAGTCTTTAAGGGATAACATAGAATTGTTGGCATCTGTAACAAAATATCATCTTCCATGCATTAAATAAATACATGAGCCAAAAGTCAGGAACTCCTCGAAAGCATACGGATGTTTTCTAATAAATTCCATTCACGGTACATTTTGATTTCTATTTTTTGATCAGCCTCTTACTTTTAATTACACATTAGCTATATTTCAATGAAGAAAACAGAAATGGATTCAGATACTGGTAAGGGACCTGCTTGGTAAATTCCCTATCCTTTCTATTCTATGAAAGCATTAATGGAAGAATATGTGCCTTATGAATAGAATATTCAACAACTATGTATCGTGACCTGAATTTTACAGGGCTGATATGAGTCATTATAAAGGTTTCAATGCCCTCTAATACACTGTCTTATTGTATTAATGTTTCTTTTTTTTTCCTCTGATGTTTCTTATCATGGTCTGTGAGGCTAAAAAATATTAAGTGGGAAAAACAGGAGATACTGGAACTGAGAGAGTAAAAATGATTGGGAGATATCTTTTCCCGTTCTAACCATACGAGTGGTTAGAATATAGTTCTAACCATATGGGTGGCAAAATATCCAGTGAGCGCAACATTGATCATTAACAATATTGTTCACTGTGAGTTTTGACAATATTCACATGGAAAACCATACAAATCATAAAAAACAGCATTTTAACTATCCCAGTGACCTTTGCTTTAAGAGACGCTCAAGCTGCAAAGCTAATTAGACCTCATTTTGTTAAGCCGAATAGACTGTACGCATATTCCTGCCTTTAATGTGACCTGTGCATCATTTAGCCTTAAGAGGACACTTGCAACTAAGGCTGAAATATTCCTGTTTAACGTAATGCTCCTTGGGCAC